CCAGACCTCCGCACGATGGCCACCAACGGCGCTACGACTAACAGTTCCTCGTCCTCGGGGTCCTCGAACAGTGGCCAGCCTGCGACCGACCAGCAGGCGGGATCGACCATGAACTCCATCACGCAAGTGTTCCCTCCTATAGTGGAATTAAATGTCGGAGGAGTTTTCTATACGACCTCGCTGACGACTCTTCAGAAGGACCCCGAGAGCCTGCTGGGTCAAATGTTTAGCGGGAAGTCCAAGACGCCCGTGCTGAGGGATTCGAAGGGCAAGTTTTTCGTGGATCGTGATGGTGTCTTGTTCCGTTATATTCTCGACTATTTACGAAACCAGAAGCTCGTGTTACCAGAAAACTTCAGTGAGCGTGAAAGACTCAAGAACGAGGCGGAGTACTATGCGCTGCAGGACATGGTGGAGTCCCTTACCGTTCCCAAATCCCTGAGCCCCATTGATCCTTCGTTTCTAGTCAAGACCACCTGTGGCACGATTACCGTCAGTTACCGCGGCACCTTCGCCTTCGGGCGCGACGGCCTCGCCGACGTCAAGTTCCGCAAGCTGAACCGAATCCTTGTGAGCGGTCGCGTGACGCTGTGCCGGGAGGTGTTCGGGGACACGCTGAACGAGTCACGTGACCCGGACCGTGGCGCGGTTGACCGCTACTCCAGCCGCTTCTTCCTCAAACACACCTTCCTGGAGCAGGCCTTCGACATGCTGGTCCTGGCGGGATACAAGTGCCAAGGATCCTGCGGCAGCAGCACCGCAGGCGGCATGATGGTGGACAAAAAGCCCGGCATGGACTCGGAGGAGGACCGATGGAATCACTACAACGAGTTCGTGTGGGTGAGAGAATAACTAGGCTGCGGGGGGGTACTCTGGCGGCCCCGGGGAGAGGGCAGCCACTTGACGGTCACGAAGTCGTTCTTCTGACGATCCCTTCCGCAGATCCTGGATGCTTGGTTGGCGCACGTGCTCTGGGCGACGCGAAGCAGGTGGGAACAGTTTCAAAAGTCGCTAACTGCTTTTGTTTGGTCGATTCTAAAGAAGACAAACACTAATAGCTTTAAAACGTTCATGGAAAATACGTGAATAAAGAGTACTTACTTTCATTCTGCTTATAGCCGTTCCGCACACCAAGTGTATTAGAGTATTAAACGCAAGAGGAAACTCAAAGCAAGTGTTAGTACGAGCCCAACATTATGTGTATGTGTGATAACAAGCTGTAGGTAGCCTCTAAACACGCAGCATGGAGTCGTGTACCTGCTAATTGCTTATTACGGAAGAAAACATGTTGAGTGCAATTTTTTCTCGATTTTTTCAAGTGAAGAAATGTGATTGAAACGACAGAAATAGCAAACTCTTCTGACCAAGAAGTTCTGACCGAAATATCAAGAAACAAACAAGCAAATCCTCAAAAGCATATACATATAAGGTTTAGAGCAATCATATCATTATCGACCAAAAATCGAAGTTCACATCATTGCCACGAAAAAAGTGATATAAAATGAGTTATATTTCCAGTTATGAAGTCTTATTTTATTTATACACTTGCGGACCATTAAAAAAAATATTTTTCCAGCTGTAGATTTGACGAACTATTAGCCATCCAGAGAATCTCAGCCAATACCCGGGGTTCTTTCCTCTATTGTCTGTATTATGAACCAAGATCTCAACCAAACTGTTAAAAAAAGATAAAAATATCAATCAAAAAGATAGCTGTCCAGAGATAGAAATTACCTGTGTATTATACATTTACAAAGTTGTTTTTCCGAGTGCTCCCAGTGGTAGCCATAGGGACCATTAGATTATGTTCCCGTTTATCCGATCCAGAATTTCGTTTCAGGAGTTTCATAAGCGAATACCCTGAAAACAGCTTGATGGGACCTATTCAGTGCCACGAACTCATTTATGACGCTTTTACCTGGTACCTCGAAATTCTAGAAAAAAAAAAGCATAGCACAAAAGAGGATATCAACTTCTCACATTATTTCTCGAATCTGATGGGAATTCCAAGGGTCTGTTATCATCGAACAGTTTGGGACCATAAGTTAGTGCATATTCCAAGAGTAATTAAGGAAGTGACTCTCCCTGCGATCTCATCCTCGTTCATCCAGCGCGTGTCGACGGGTGTTCGGTTCCGCGCCATTCGTCTCGACTCACTCACATGCAGTTCGAAGTCTCAAGAGCGACCCTCTCGAACGCGGTCTTCAAGTGCCTACTTCGCCCGGAGGATATCGAAGCATCGAGGACGTTGTCTCAAAGGCTGGTTCTGGAAACTCGCTGATACGAAATCGATGCTTTCTGATAATCTGATCCGCAAACTCCAGCAAGCCAATGTTATCGGTGTCCTTGGCTTCGAGGACAAGGAGACGAGGTACATGAAGAGTGAGGTGGGAAATAGAAAGAACAAGGAAAAAGAAAATATCGAAATGAAATACGTATCACGATGGCGAAGACCCAAGAATCGAGCACAGAATCCCAGGATTTGGATAACGTCTGCGGT